CCCCAAAACCCCAAAACCCCAAAACCCCAAAACCCCAATAGAGCTTAAAAGATTGAGCAGGAAGGAATTTGTTAAATTATTTCTTCTTTTTCTCTACATAATCAACAGCCTCTTGGGAATAGACTGCTTTGAACCCAACGAAGAAAGTGAATATGAGAAGAATAAGTCCGAGACCTATGGGGACAACGTATTTCTTGATAAATCACATTCAATGTCCTTTATCTCCAAAGCATGCTCCTAAATTTGTACCATAATTGCATTCATAGTTATCTGCATGGATAAGATGGCTGTATTGGTCAAGTAAGTCACTCATCTAGAGATTATTTTTATGGCTTTACTTTTGCTTTTCAGTTATCCTTTTCTACAAGGAACCTGTAGCCAATGTCATATTTCTCTTTGCTTTGATCAGTTAAATTTCCAACTCTAAAATTTGAGGCGACTGGCTTACGGTCCATATTTGGCGAGCATATGCTGTTGGATAAACTTTAGGCCAAATTTTAGCTTTGCTTCACATCTCATAAATTCGTGGACGAAGATATCAAAGTCATGCTTTACCATCAAGAAATTTAATGGTGATCTGAAGGAATATTCTGAAAGCAACTGTTGCAGGTCTGATTGGAATCTTAGATACTCATTCATCATTTTTGTGATATATGGTAGCAATAAGTTGTTTATTAATGATTGAAGAGGTACAGACTGTGTAGGTGGATCAGAAGAGTCATTCTGAGAGCCGCTGTAAGCCAAATTTATGACTCTGTTTCTATCATTACTTCTTGATGGGATATTTTCAAAAATCATCCTGGGTAAAGTCATTATGTCGGATTCTTTCATCTCTCAGTTACTTGTTCCAAATGATGTTTTGATTCATATATTTTCATTAGGATCAACAATGCTTCTCAGATATTGATCATAAGTTACATCTTTGGGCTTTATCAGCAAAAGTATAGAATCAGAGCTTAACTGCGCGTTTTCTTTATTTTCAAAAAGCTGCTGGAGAGCTTGTTCTAAATTCTCATCTTCAAAATCAGTGACATAAATGCTAATAAGTCTTTGTTTGCTGACTAAATCCTTAATTAGTTCATAATGGATTCGCTCCCTAAATTCTGCTTTATTCCCGCCATGTTGAATGAAATCTTGGAGAATATTCAGAATTCTTTGGCTTATATCGCTTGAAATATTAACCTCATAAAATTTATAGTCTACTTTATAGAATAAACTTGACATATCCTTCGATGAATAGGTCACATTGAGGGTTGACAGTAGGTCATTGACGTTGTCGCGCAAGCTAGGAAAGATATCATATTTGCTAGAGTACTATATTGTCAGCATGTAATAATTACCTCCAGTAATCCGATACTTTCTAGGTAAGAATCATTCCTGATTTGGACATTTTTATCAAAAATATTGGAAATCATTGAGTAATCTATGTTGTATTGATCCCTTGAAAAGTTTTGAGCAGGATATGCATCAGGGTATACTGGCTTAACTGTTTTCGAAAGTCTCACAATTTGAATATGAACTTCATCTTTAAGGTATGACAAGTTTCGAATCTTTTCTTCTAAGATAAAGTCATCTCTTTCTCTGATTTCTTCTGAGCTCTCTGTTGCTGGAAGACTGATTCTATCTGTAAACTTGTGATCGCCATGGCAAGCTATAAGATATGGCAATCAAAGAATAAGAAATATCCGAAATATCATTTTCTTTAAAGTATTTAAATTATATTTTTTGGGGTTTTGGGGTTTTGGGGTTTTGGGGTTTTGGGG